ATAATGTTTTGGTAAGGTGCAATATCGATTACGATCCGGAAAAGGAAGAAGCAAACATGCATCAAGTAAAAATATGCGATATCATGGTCTAAACTTTCCAGATTAACCTCGTGTGGTAGTGACATTTTGATTCTATTTCAGTGTGTTATGTGTGAGGATTGGTTTCATGAAAATTGTATCAACGGAGAAAGACAAGGGGGAATAACTTTTTCGGTAGGTACGTTCTTATTTTCTCCTGTGCAGAGATGGTAGATTGACTGATTGTCGATCGAAATCACGAAAATGAAATCTGTACATAGTTACCGGAGCTGGAGGCTTTCGAGGAATATATCTGCCGTGAATGCACTAGAAAGTATCCTTTCCTAAAGGCGTATAAAAGCTCGCCCATGTTTTTCTTTGGCCAAACAGAAAGGAGGAGTGGTGAAAAGGAGTCAGTGGATGTGGACGAGGAGCGTTCTTCACGTGAGGGAACTTCGACAAACTCATCCCGAGATTCCCAGAATGGACAATTATCATTGCAAACCGATTCTTCCATCCCAACTAATAAAAGAAAGCTTGAGAATAGTCAAGAGATTGAAAGTGAGGATAATTCTTATAAAAAAAAAAGGAACGAAGTGCAATGTAAGCTCGAGAGATGGAAAATAGGGAAGGATGAAATCGAGGTTGACCTATTCTGCGTTCAAGGTTGGAGAGATGAACTCTGTCGCTGCACTAAGGTATGCACCGATGATTTGTGGATAGAAATCCTAGTTTCAAGCGACTGAATTCCTGTGAAATCTCTAGTGCATGAATCTCTATAAACAGCATCGAATAGAATTTATCTTGCAAGCAGAGGAAACTTATGAGCCTCCGCAAGATGACGAAGCGCGTGAGTTAAATATAAATTCCAGTTGAGAATCAATTTTATTATCAAGTATTATTACGTAATCTTCGGATGAATTCTTGATTGGTAGAAACGTCATTATTTGACAGTGGAATGAAATTGTTGACACAAATGGACAGGGTCACTGCAATTGAAGGTTTTTTTTTTAAAAGAAAGGTCGTGGTCTTTGTATTTTCACCTATCCTTATATTAATTATCTTATTCTATAGGCGCAATTGCATATACAAAATTGAAGTATAGATTCTACGTTAACATACCATGGAAATTGCCTTTTTTACGCGTTATATCTCATTCAACTATAATCTATTATAGAGACGAATTGGTGGAATTTTTAAAACCTTTTGAAGAATCCGGAAAAATAGTGACAGAACAAGATATACGAGCATTCTTCGAGGTAAAGAAGTTCATCGGTTTTTTTTTTTTTAAAAAAAAAAAATATATATATATATATATCAAACTTGATTGTTATATTTGACTAGTCCAAAAGGAACGAACGCCATTTCTCGGATGCCGGATCGCTTTTTTGATGTGCGATACGTCTTACGTTCACGCGTGTACATAAAAGTTATGACTACGATATGACACTTATTATTCTCCCGGTGTAACCATATCGAGTAATTACCAAAAAAGAAAACCTTTTTCAATCAAATGTATATCGTATTAAATGGAAATTAAGTGTAAACAGTCGCTTGTGATTTGACCGAGTTATCCTTGGCACTGTCTTTTTTGTCCAATAACTTTATAGAAGTTTCGAGTCTCGAGTTTTTTTCAACTTCCACAAATTCCGTCTTAACGGGCAACTTATCTGATGCTAATCTCAATGCTTCCTTTGCTGTCTCTCTTCGCATTCCTCCGCCGCCTATTTCGAACACGATTTTATTAATAGGTACTCTGCAAGCCCAATATTCGAATGAGCCTTTGCCCTTTCCCATTCTAGTTTCGTTTCCTTTTGAAGTAACGGGAATATCGGGAAATACGCGCATCCAAATTTTCGAGCCTTTAATCACCTTTATCTTACGCCTAATAGCAGCTCGTGCTGCAGTGAGTTGACTCCCCGATAAGCGTACACCATCTTTCACGCGTAGGCCGAAGTCGCCATATACAATGGTATTACCCTTTGTCGAACCACCTGTGCGTACGGGTACCCGTCCTTTGTGTTTTTTACGATATTTGGTGTGACGCGGTGCGAAGTCCGATCGGAATCGACGTTGAACATCGGTCAGTGTAACTTCCCGCTTTAGAAGACCCGTGTCGCGTGTTATTAACGGTCGAAGCGATCTTGGCACCGTTGACAATAAAGGTTTCAAGAAAACAGACATGAAGCATCGCTGTGAAGTTACATGTTGCCTTTTCGAGGATAAAATACTTGATTCTAATAAACCGGGAGGATTGCCAGGAAACCTTTTAAGCACACCGGCTTTATGAGACCATAAAGAACGAAGCATTATGCATTTACGTTTGTGTCATGCACGTCGAAAAAATTCATCGAAAATCTAATCAAAGTTACACAGATCAGATCATGATAAAACATTGCTTCCAAGTTTGACATTCCCTTCCGCTGGACAAATGCCCAATAAAAGGAAACGAAGTTCAAAACAAAGTGACGCATTGAAGTAAAAAAAAAAAAAACACGCTATTTTGCTTCAAAATTCTTTTATTATTTTATATTTGGTTCACGGATTCCATGTTTGAAAAAACAAAAAAGATACGATGATCCTCCAAGATTCGACAAGATTCAGGACGCACCTCGTCGTTTTACTAGAGTTATGCGCATCGCGGAGCAAAGGAAAAAAGATGTCACGGGTCCGAAACCGAAGCGGGAGGAGAAGCAAGACATTGAAGATTTGGTATGATTTTCTCTTTATTGTTCAAAGATGTTTTCGAATGAAAAGCTTACATATGATCTTTATAGAAAAAAACAAAAACCATGCAAAAATCTCCTGGAGAGACATTCTTCGATTTCAGCAGGTAGATAAACCTATTTTGGGATGTTTGCAAGAATTTGACAAGTTAGAGCCGACCTTGTGTTTGATTAGACGATTAGATGATCAGATGCGGCCACATATCTTAGAAGCTATGAAAGAAGGTTCCACCACAAAAAATAAAATCAAGAGGTGAAAAGGGACATTGGTGCAAAAAAAAAACATTATTCGGATGAGTCGTTCATCGTTTGTTGTTTAGGTATCGCGAAAAAATCAAACAAAAGAAACTGAAGAAAAAGAATAGACTATACGAAGAGTTAGAGGCGAAAGACTTTGAAAAGTTTCAAGATTCTGTTAAGTTTGGGGAGGTAGCACAAGCACCTCCTCAAATAACGGCGATTCCAGTGAACCGCGGAAGAAATTCGCAAGTGAGTTTTGAGAATATGCATGAATCGTATCAAATTCTGTACTCATAAATTATAACGCTCTATTCTGTATGACACGTAAATTTCATCGAATCGAAAGTTGAGTATTTATAATGACCTTCAATTGATGAAGGAAAAGAATAACCTGGCTAGGCAGCAAATGAATCCGGCAAGAAAACGCCTTCTGGAGGTGGAACGCGAAAAATTCGTGACACATTATCGCAATATGAAGAGAAAAAATATGTCTAATGAATCATAATTATTCGCGTCAGCTGTGACCAATTTTCGTAGATTTTCTTCCTTCCCATTCTCTGACTTGAGAATCAATTAGAGCATTAGATGTTCGTATCATTTTAATATCTTCGGCATTTGTACAGTAATCAATCAACCAATTGGTTTTCACAAAATTTTTATTGGAGGAATAAACGGATTCAAAAAAAAAAAAAAACGCCATTGATTTTCTTTAGTCATCCCGTCCATCAACAAGTTAATTGACAATAAGAGAATGATTGATATTCATTTGATTCTATCCACCAAGAATACATCGCCGTAATATTACGACATCATAATGGTTGGTAACAACTAATAATACAGCTTTTTAATTTCAATTGTATATTGGAGGGAAATGTTTAAATAATATCAATATTCGGGAATTATATTTTCAATAATATGTCCTCGTGAAAATGATTACATTAAGCGTACACATTTAAAAGAACAGTTTAGATATTACAAAGATTCCGATGGTTCTACTATATACAATTGGACAACCGTGATTGTATTATCAAGATGCGAGAGGTGATGAGGTGAGGTTTACCAAAATTCAGAATATAAGAATCTCATTGTTCATAGGTATCGCCCGATAAAGTATATTCAAATGGTGCTGTCTACCTAATAAATATATTGTAGAATGATGTTAGTTAGGATGAGTACGATTAGGATCATAAAGATAGGAGTTCGTCCCCCGATTAAGAAAGGAAAAAAAAAACCATTCGTCTGATGCTTTAGAGCATAATCGATCGAGTATAGAAATGCATAATGATTCACGCTTTTTCCGTTAATGATTCCTTAGCCGTGTTTGCAATGCTGGTCAAAGTTTCCCAAATCACTCACAATCTCCAAACTTCAATACAGACCCACAAAAATTTAGGTATTGATATTGTTCCCTTCATTTCCCATAGTGATGCGCCTTTGTTGTTCTTCTCTTTGTTGATCTTGCCAACGATGCTGTTTAGCGATTTCATGAATTTTGAATCCAAATATCTTCGGCACATATCGTTCATTGCTCTTTGGGGGAAGCAAATGCGGATAAACTTGGAAAAACATGTGAGGAAATGTGGATCCATAATATGCCCCATCAATGCTAGCGTGCCGCGTGGATTTGGGGTTGTAAATATCTTCGCAGCGAGGACAGTATAGCTTCACGGATTTGGTGTAAGGCTGGTCAGAAAGACCAACTGGCAGGAGTTGCTGATTGCTACACAATACACGTGGGCAGCGGCCAAAATCTGCTTTTTTGTATTTCTCAAGCTGATACGAATAAAACTTGTCAATTCCTATAGAAGGTAATCTCGTTTCATCGACTTGGACCACATACCATTTTCGCCAGCCCTCGACTTGTGATAATGAACCTCGCATGAATCAACCCGTAGAGATGGCGAGCGGATTTCTCAACAGCTTCGCGCATCTCGTCGTCGAGCTCCTCCTCTGGGATGTAAAGGAAAAAAGATGAGCCGCGTCAGATAAGGTTTTTTTTTTTTAGAGAATTATGCCGCAATTAAACTTATACCCAAAGTATCGCTTATTAAATCGAGAGCCTGAACATAGTGTTGGACTTCGGAATTCAACCCCGTCAGGTTAAAACGATCGAGTATATATTCTTCGTCGACTTCACAAAAATATTCATTTCCCTTGGTGGACAAAAACCAATCGATCCAGTATTTTGTGTAATCACTATCCGAGCCACTTGTATCATCCACTAGAAAGATTTAAACGATTTGTGCTTTAAGACTTGAAGAATAAACAAAAAAAAAAAAGAAGCAAAGTGAGATGCAAGACGCTACAAACTTTTTACGTCCCCGTTCAAGTCCTGTTCGTGCTCTTGAACGTCTTCAATTCCCTCGTCGCCGTCGATGACGATCGGATTTCGGGCTGAATTGTCCAAAGTATCTTATTTCGAAGGATTTTTCTTTTCTTTAGGTGGTAGATAGTTCAGTTATTTGTTTGACAATCACTGAACGCAAAGAGAGTTGATTTAAGGGGTCTGCCTTAGAAATCTGAACGATAGGGACTATAGATAAACTGCCGGTGGCCAGGTGTTCATTTTTTTTTTGAACCGGCAAATTAAGTTCACCAATCAGCGTGAAGAACAATATCGAAATTTGGTTAAAAAGAATTCTCATCACATCTGATTAAAATCTCTCCTCCGAATTCCTAGTGTCATGGTGGGTTGCATCCATCTTTTCTCGGAACGAAAATTCTTCAAAGATTTGATTCTTATGAAATTGCGTTTGCTATTAGTCTCACCGTAAGTTTGAGGCCCCACGCCATGGTTCTTTAGGTTTTCTTCCGCGCAAGCGCGCACGAAGACACCGTGGAAAGGTCAAATCTTTTCCAAAGGACGATCGTAGCAAAAGTGTACATTTAACAGCCTTCCTTGGATACAAGGCGGGTATGACTCATATCGTTCGAGATTTGGATAGGCCAAGCTCTAGTAAGTAATTTGTGTTTGTCGATTTCAGAGTATTTTAAAAGGAATTCTAATATTTGCGATATTTATTGGTTCCGAATAGAAATGCACAAGAAAGAGATCGTTGAAGCGGTCACAGTGATTGAAACCCCACCAATGGTCATCGTTGGTGTTGTTGGTTACGTTGAAACGCCTCGTGGTCTCCGAACGTTGACCACCGTCTGGGCTGAACATTTGTCCGACGAGGTGAAACGCCGTTTCTACAAAAATTGGTATCGTTCAAAGAAGAAGGCGTTCACAAAATATGCCAAAAAGCACGCCGACGGTGCCAAGGATATTCTTAAGGAACTTGAACGCATCAAAAAATACTGTCAAGTCGTTCGTGTGTTGACTCACACTCAAATCCGAAAGGTAAAAATAGGTCAAAAGAAAGCTCATCTAATGGAGATTCAGGTTAACGGTGGAAGCATAGCGGAGAAGGTTGAATGGGCGAGAAGCCATTTTGAGAAGGAGATAGACATTCATTCGGTCTTTGAGCAAGATGAGGTAATTGACGTTATTGGTGTCTCAAAGGGTAAAGGATTTGAAGGTGTGACGCATCGATGGGGAACAAAGAAACTTCCTCGTAAGACACATAAAGGCTTGCGCAAGGTCGCTTGTATTGGTAAGTGATTTTTGAGTCCCATCCATTCCAATTTCACCAAATTTTCAATATGCCTACTGTATAAACGCGATCTATTATACACGATCCTGCTTACAGGCGCGTGGCATCCCTCGAGGTAATGATCAAATTTTAAATAGATTGTTTCAGGGTCTGTGATTTAAAAAAAAAACCTATGATATATATATATATATAAAATAGAGTAATGTATTCTGTTCCGCGTGCCGGTCAAAATGGGTATCACCACCGGACCGAGGTTAACAAGAAGATTTACCGTATTGGAAAAGGAAATGAAGAGACCAATGCATCGACAGAATATGATGTTACCAAAAAGCAGATTACGCCATTAGGTGGATTCCCACATTACGGCATTGTGAACGAGGATTTGTAAGTTATGCGACTTTCCACCTTGAGGGTTATTATTTACAATTTGACCAACGTCTTACAATTTTTTTGTTGAACCTCTGACAGCGTTATTATCAAAGGCTCATGTGTTGGGGTAAAGAAACGTGTCCTCACCTTAAGGAAATCTTTGATCACACACACTAAACGTTCAGCCCTGGAGAAGATCTCCCTTAAGGTTGGTGTTTACTTTATGACTGGAAATTTTAAACTTGAAAATGTTCATGCTAACAACGGTTCAATTTGTGATTGCAGTTTATCGATACGAGCTCCAAATTTGGTCATGGCAGGTTCCAGACTGCCGAAGAAAAACGTGCATTCCTTGGAACCCTCAAGAAGGACCTTAAGAAGGACCTTAAGGAAACTGAGAATTAACCTTAAGAACAATTACATTTCCCAGAATACATGGTGAATGGTTGCTATATGAGGAGAAAACTGAGCTTTGGTTAAGATAATAAAATGTCATTTTTGAATTAGTCTTTGATGTGCCTGACGCATAAAGTAGCAAAATCGCCACGTGAGTTGTCTGGCGATCACATGATCAACATAATACGTAATACAAAATACAGTTTGTTTTTCATTTTCAACTTGTAGCTTTTTCAAAATGCTCAACATAACCTTACAAACTCTCGAAACGCTCCAATATTTGTGGACGCAGGCAAATTCATATCTTGTCGACTTCAACACCACCCAACTTACGGACCTATTCCACTCAAACCTAAATGTCCTAACTTCTTCCGATTTCGCTATTCTCCTCATTTTCTTCGCGTCCCTCTATGTCGTGTATTCGATCGTTAGAATGATACTCCGATGGATTTATGGAACGGTAGTAGGAATGGTTAAATTCGGGTTTTATGTTGTTATGGCAATTATCCTATATTGGCTATATATTAGCGTTAGTTTCGACGTAGAAAGGGGTAATGAAGAACTTATGATGAAAAAACAAAAGTTGGTTCAGGGCGTTAAACACGTAGTACACGACGCGATGGTCCACAACGATCTGTGAAAATTTCGAAGTAACAAATCCTGCGAGATTAGAATGAGATCTTTGCCGTCAGTTGTTAGAATTAACATTTAGAGAACATTTAGGTTTAGAATTATTTCATGTATATATTTATTTACAACGAATTAAGTTTTTTTTTTGTGTTTCGCGAAATACAAAGTTTTTGATGATAAATTTTATTAAATTTATATAGAGGTTATTATTATTATTATTATTATTATTATTTTGATATCAAAAGAAATATAAAATAAATAATCTTAATAATTAATTCAACAGATTTTATTTTATTTTGTAATAACCCATTAAGACAGGCTAATAGCATATATTCACTTAAAATTTAAGCTAAATTAAATCTTTTATCAACAAACTTGTCTTAAAAGTTTTTAAGTTTGATTATAAAAATAATATAATACTTTGAGTACTTTGAGCAAACATTCTTTTGATAGCTCATATTATTGCTAATCAATTATCAAAGTCAATTATTCTCTACAATAGAAAAAATATATATAGTATATATTGGTTGTTTTCAAAAGTTTAAGTTTACTAATTATATTTTTATTATAAATTTATTTTCTCTTAATACTTGTTCTATTTCTAATATTTTTTAAAAAATTTTTTTATAAATAATTTTTAAAGTTTTATTATTATTAAATATTTTTATTTTTTTATTAATTATATTATTATTTATAATAACAATCAATCAAGATTATTCAAGAAAAAAAATTTTAGGCAATAATAAAACTTTAAAAATTATATTGTATATAAAAATTTTTGAAAAAATATTAAAATAAAACTAGTATTAAAGTATAATATATATTTATTTTAAAGTTAAAACTTATAATAAAAATATAGTAAATGAATTCAACTTTTGAAAACAACTGTATTTATAAAATTATATATATTGTATATATATAAAAAAATAACAAGTGAAAAAACTCTTTCCGCTGATCCTCTGACTACACACAAAAAAGATGTTCGCAAGAAGTTTTTATACTTCCTTGCTAATAAAGTCTTA